AAATATAAGAACATTTTGTAGAAGAATTGGGGTTTTCAATTTGTATATTAATGTAGTAGCCAGGTAGTTTCTGTTGATTAAAAAAGTGTCTAAAAGATGACTCCGTCGTTCTGATGGCAGACTGTTCGTTTGACGTGTTGAAGACAAAAGGATACAGAACTTGGATTGCCACAATAAATTATAAAATGAATATTTTATGTTACTAATTATTAACCTAAAATTCTAACATTTAAATGTCTTAAGTAAAATTAATAATGATTACAATTCATACACATATATAGCACAAATAACATTGCTATGTCCGTTATCCCAACCGGCCTTAACAACCTTGGTACTGAGCGAAAGGCTTCGTCGTCATATATTTCTAGTTAATGAATTATTATGGTCGATGCAATGCTTCTTTTCTAATATATGTAACATTGAAGTTATACATGCCTTTTCTTGGAAAAGTCTTAACTGTCTGTGTGAACGAATTCAATATTATATACTTTCCTGGCATTATAATGTCGTGAACTTTTTAATGAATTTGTAGAGTTTCTACAACTGTTTTATTTTTATTATTTTATCGTAAGGCGATCTCTTAAAAATATTAAGTTTGTATTCTGTTAAAACAGACTTATATTTATTCTATGTAATATGCATTAAAAACGTCTGACTAAGCGTTTATTATCATTTTGTTTTTCTCCATTAGAAAAGCCTTCGGAAACAGCCAAAGATATACGAGATGGGTCTCAGTCGGATAGCCAAAACCCTGAAAGACAGCCTGCTACAGGCAACAGTGTTATTGATGACCAGAATAATCCTGTGAATCAAGCTGTCTCCGTGGAGAAAAACCAGGAGTATCAACATGATTCTAAGAATCCGACTAAACCACCTAATTCTGTTGTCAAGTCCCGCTTCACCGAAGTAGCCAAATGTATGCTTGAAATTATTGAAGACTTACAGTTAAAGAAACAGAGCGATAATAAACAACCAACCACTGATAGTAGTACTAACACACAGACGGGGTCAAGGGACAGTAATATCACTGCGGAAGACAGGTCTGCAGTCCTCGCTTCTTATAAAACAGATTTTGGAGAGAGTCCATCACGCGGTTGCTACAGATCTTCAATTCCCAGGCCAAATAAAGACGACATTGTGAATCGTCAACCCATGTCTGCGGCTGATTATCATGTGTACGAAGAGATAATGTATGATTTTGTAACTGGAAGGGGCGTCCGTGCTACTGATATGCCTCCTCCACTGCCCGCCCGGCCCACTGTCGTGGCCTGCAAGGACCAAGGCTACTTTCCTTTCTTTCTCTCTGAATCGCGCTCCACTTCTGGATCTCTCAGGAACTCATCCAATAATAGACCTAAACAGCGACATAATCTCTACTCCATTTTTTCGGATCAATCAGATAGACGAACTATCTCAAAATCTCTTGAAAATGAATGGAAGTCCAACCCAAAAAGTACTGATGCTGATGACGATTACGGCTTTAAGTCATTCCCAACAGTTTAAGCCCTCTCTATCCACCTTTTTGAACTCCATAAAACAAAAAGTATTTGTTCTTTACGAAAGCGCTTTTTAGAAGTTTTAAAACAGACTGCTCGTACTGGTTTACGTATGAGTGCTTGATAAATTCCCCGAGGATTCCGGAAGACGTGTAATTCAAATCACGTATAAAAACAAGCCAGACCATGATACGTGTATCATAGATCTCTGTGGTTGATTTATCTAAGATTAATGAGGTTGTTTTGTGTAATTATTTCATATGGATGTATAAGTTACTTCGAGTACCATATTAGGAGTTGGGTCATTTTAACCATGGATCCTCCTCAAAATGGTATTGCTGAGTATTATTGTATTGTATTTACTACACTAGCTTATGGATTTTTTTTCTTTTACTTATTTTAGTGTTAAAATAATTATTTTAAAAATCGAACAATTTACGTATTATACAAAATGTCTGAAAAACGAGATGAGTTGTAATCCCTTAAAAGTCTGATTTTCTTTCATTCACTCAAAATACTCATTGAAAGGATCTTTAGATGTGTGTATCGTGTGTGTGAGATTACATTTCACCAGTGCTAACTAAAATATGTCGTATCTAAACTTCATGAAGAGATCTTTTATTTGATTATTCACATCCCTCTAAATTAATTTTAATATTTTACTACACAGGAAACAAAACAAAATCCACCACTTCTAGATCAATTCGTGAAAGTTTATTTAATTACTTACATTCCTTTAAATTAATTTTAATATTTTACTACACAGGAAACAAAACAAAATCCACCACTTCTAGATCAATTCGTGAAAGTTTATTTAATTATTCACATTCCTTTAAATTAATTTTAATATTTTACTACACAGGAAACAAAACAAAATCCACCACTTCTAGATCAATTCGTGAAAGTTTATTTAATTACTTACATTCCTTTAAATTAATTTTAATAGTTAATTACATAGTTAACAAAAATCTACCACCTATAGATAAACTCGTAATTTCTAAGCGACATTCTGAAGAAACAAATTATTAAAACGAACGTATCAAAAATAAGCCCCCCACCCAAGTGGGACACCAATATGTCTGCGGACTTATAACGCTAGAACCCGCGGTGGACAGATAGCCCGTTGTGTAGGTTTGTGCTTAATTACACACAAACAAGCAATCGAGAATAAATTTATAAATAAAATCTCCATAGTATAATATTAATCTAAGACTAAGTTGCTAAAAAAGCTTTATATTAAGGTATAATACTAAATTTAATCCTTTATATTATATATCGATTTTTATATATGATTCAAGCCAAAATTTGAGCTAAAAATGTTATTCTTCATTTTCAGATACTGAAATTTCGAAAAGATAGAGGCTCTAATTTGAATCTGTAATACACGCACGATTAAATGTGTTCAGCCTACACTGAGAAAATATTTTATTGGAACAAAAAAATAAGTAAAATTGAAAGGTGTTCTCCTTCTGTCTGTTAAAATGTAGTCCTTTACTTATTTAACAATAAGTAGTTAAATTATAATAAATCTCATTTTTTAAAGTATTTATACTGTTTATTGAGTTACTTTGTAATTTTTAATATAGAACAAGTAAAATTCTATAAATTTTTTCTTTGATTTAGTTACCTTTTTTAGGGGGAATTTTGCATATAAACCATTCATTTTGATTTACTATATTACTTCAACTCTATTGTTTTTTCATAGTAAATATTACGTCATTAAGTCTCACTCCTCCTATAAATGAATTTTTCGTTAAATAAAAAAATTCCAAATGGCGTTACCTGATTTCAATGTGTATTGTATGAATTTTATTACAATGGTATCTTCGACAAAAAGTGGTTGTTGTTGTTTTCTGTAATTATAGATTCTAAGTCCAAAAACAGCTGGGATATTTACCTGTGGAACGAATAAGTAATTAAATGAATATATACGCTTGCTTGGTGTTTAAAACATTCCAATTAAAAGCTGTTAGTCCTAAAGACATTCGTGTTCTTGTTGCTGTTTTTAACGTTTTTGTTCAACAAATTTCGTAGCTTCTGTTCTTTCATTCCACCCTTTTAAAATTATTTTACACCTCCGGAAAATATGTATCTATTTATGTTTCAAGATCATTATCAAGGTGGGACAAGTTGATGATTTTGTATAACCTTACAGAAGTTCATCAAACTGACAAGCACCATGTAAATTCGATTCTTCTTAGACAAGTATTCTGACAAGTTCCAATCTTCCAAGGTCATATTCAAACCTTGGTCAGGCTCCATCACATACAAGATGCTCTGAAAATGGTGACATATTGCTACTTCTTTAAGAAGCAAATTAAAACTCTCAAAAAGCCATCAGTCTCACTTTTCTATCTGACCAGTTCACCGACCCTTAATTACGAAAAAAACAACAACATTATTTCTTGTTTATTTGTGTGATACATGAAAATTACTTTCATTAAATTGAAAGCTTAATGGTTTAATTTACTCGTATATAAGAACTTAAAGTGAATGTGATTTTATAAAAATTATTGCTATTAGCAACCTTTTTTTTCTTTCTTGTACTGTAGTATAATTATCCACTTATTTTAACCTGAAAAGTTACTGAAAACTTTGAGATTTTGTACGGGTGAATTTGATCTTTTTTTTTTCCAGAAATTAAATATGCTGTATTAAAATTTTACTTATTTTTTTATAAATATTATATAGTTTAGTGATACTAATTGAAAATATAAAGATTTTTCTGATAATTAATCCGAGATATCCCGTTGAATAAACTGTGTGAGAATACAATACTCCCTCCTTTTGCTTGTATGTTTTAAATATATAATGTTTTTGAGACCACGATAACCATTCATTATATATTATTTGTGTGAAGTTTAATTTTATGTAATTCAATCATTTGAAGAAAATTTAAAAGTGTGACATAATTTAATTTAAAATACAAATTATCTGTTTTGATGACTTATTGTTTTTAATTTTGTTGTCGTAGGTCATTGTCTAATCAGAGTTGTTAACATATCGTAACTAGTTTTGAATTTCAACTTTGTAGACCAAGTTAAGGAACGAAATAGCTATTAAATTAACTTTAACCATGTCTGTAAATAAATAAAAAATGTTCTTATGATATGAAAAATCAAGAACTGTGTATTGATTGTGTCTTATCAGTAAACCATTTTATTTGGTTTTCCCCATTACGTAACGTGTTGCGAAATAAAACTGTAATGATGAAGGTTAAGTTTTCAAACTTTACTGAGGATCGTTATTTTGTGTAAAATCACGGATATTTTCCATCACAACTCAAATGCTTTATACCTCAACATTACTGCAACACAAAATGGTTCAAATATTATTTCATCGATAAACACGTTTTTACGGGAAACTTGGTAAATAAAACACGACGAAAGTAAACTATCTTTTCTTTAGCTTTCTTTTTAAAGTAACAAACATAATTTATACCTATACAAGTTTGTGTTCCTTTTGTCCGTAGTTTGTTGTTGTTGTGTTTTTTGAGAAAAAAATTGGTTTTACTGGAAAACGTGAGATTTGGGTTTTTAAAATGAACGTATATTTTCTTTCTTACCAGCAGATGATGTAATACAGTATTTCTCCTCATTCATCAAACCCTTGAAAGTTGTTTTGAGAATTTAATTGCGGAATAGCTTCTGCAAACTCCACATTTGGCAAAAGAAGAAAAAAAAAGAGCACATATACTTGGAAAGTCTCCAGTTTTAGAGGTAACAGCAAGGTATCTAAAATCGCATAAAGAATTATTGATCTAAGTTGGAATATTTACAGTAGTAACATGCACATTTGTCTTTTATAAATCAACGGTATCTTTCACGTATGTTTAGAATATTTGAAACCGATTCGTTAGAAATTTTGCGAAATTCATTCTTTATGAATTAAAATTTGAAACAATCTGAAACAAACTGGTACCTGATGATGACAAAACCTTGTCGAAACGTTGTACATTTGCTGTCATGTTAAACTTGTATTAAAGTTTTTCT